GCTTCTCAAACTCCTCAAAGTACTCGTCCACGGTCCTTGTTCCCTGAGACAATTTTCTAAAACGTTTTTGTAAGTCTCTGTGATAGTGATCAGGAACATACCTCAACCTCAAGAGGTACTTCATGTCTTCCCAATTGTTGATGGGAGCAAATCTTTGCCTCCTCCTCTCGGCCACTGTCCTATCCCACCAAGATAAGGCGTTGTCGGTGAGTTGTGCCGATGCTAAGGCTACCTTTCGGAGTTCTCCATATCCATAACATTGGAATATGTATTCCATCCTTTTCTCCCAATCCATGTAAACCTCTGGATTTGATTTTCCTGCAAAAGGAGGAGGTGTTAGGTTAACATCTCGGTTCTGGTCACGTGTGTCCACCTCTCGAGCGCGGTTCCTCATCAAGGGATCTTCTCTCCGCTGATGTTGACGCCTTAATGGATCAGGTGGTGGATCATCGTCGTCATCCGGGTCAAGGGAGTCTTCTTCCTCTTCACGGGCGTTCCTTCGAACCTGAACTGGTTCAGCTTCAGCTCTGGGCTGAGGCTGCTCCAAACGACATATTCTTTCGCCAAACCCTTCTAGTTGTTTCGATAGGGTTTGCATCATTTGCATCATGGCATCTTGGGGTATGGCTGCGTGTTCTCCCATTATGATTGTTTAAAATTATCCTGCTCTTAAACAAAAACAACAAAGAAAATCAACGTACCACAGAAATGGAAAATGAAAACTTTAGAAACAAGAAACTGATGCACGTGCTGAATTAGACAAGAAAATGAAAACCTTTTTTTTTTTTAAATAAGTTTGAAGATACTTAAACAATACTAGCTAACAAAGATAATGACACAAAAATTTAAAAACGAAATAATTTTTTTTTTTTTTTGACGAAAACCTTGATCTAGTACAGAAACTAAATCAAAGACTGAAACAGACGATTAAGGAAAGAATAGTGACGAATTTTTTTTTTATTATTTTGTTTTTGTTAAGGAAAAATAAAACTAAACAACCTATAGAAACAAGGCTGCAGCAAACTAGGGTTCTTAATTTTTTTTTTTTGAAAATTAAATAAAACAAAACTAGAATTCAAAACTATCAAAAGAAGATGGAAAAGGTAAACCTGACAAGGGAAGAGCGTGAGGCTCTGATACCAGATGATACAAGACTCGGTGGTGAGCTTGTATTAGGATAGATATGATGGCTTCACAAGATGGCGGTCGCTTCTCTCTTGTGAAGGAAAGATGGTCGTTGATGTAGATCTGACACGATGGCGGTCACTTCTCTCGTGTGGGATCGAATAAAGGGGAAGTGTTGGCGGATTGAAGTACACCACAGAGATGTGATTAGTCTCTGATACAGTACACGAACTCAGCCTTGTGGAATCACACACACAAGACAAAGGACAAGCTTTTCTCTTAAGAACACTTAAGGAGAAAATTTGAAGAAAATTCGGGTTCTCTATTGATAATAGGGTAAAAACTCGTACAACTGCTTCAGGGGGACTTTATAAGAGTCCTTCAGCTAGCCCTAAGGCCGAAATAAATGTGAAAATGCAACAAAGGAAACAAATAAAACTAAAAATACAAAGCCATTGTTTTTGGAAAGAAAATAAGTAAAGTACTAAAGCAAACTTGAAACCTTGTGATGAGCACGTCTCCTAGCCGTTGTTGGGGCTTACTGGACCTGCAATTATCGAAAATATTGAATAGAACTTACCTGGATGCGATCTAGGCCCAGTCGATGTTCTCTGAACTACGTCTTGATCTATTTCAGGGGTCTTGTCAGGTGCCTGTTTGTTTGTTGGTTTCTTGAAGTAGATGGTTTCTTGGAGTTTCTCTTGGGTAGCTTGATCAGTCTCTTGAAGCTCTTCCAAGTCCTTGATGTCTTGTTCTTGATCTTCACTCTCTCGATCACTCTCGAAGGTGAAGCTTGTTTTGCTCGTCTCTTGTGACTCCATTGTCTTCTCTTGGATTCTAGAGGTTTCTTAACCTGTCAAAGGAGAATTCATACCTGGGGAAATGGTATGTTCAAGACTCATTTGGGTGAATGCTTCAGCAAGCTCTTCCTCAGCGATGGGATCATATCCGTCATGATGGAGTACCGGTGGTACAGACCAGTTGACGTAGTTCAGCTCTAGTGAGCTCACAATGTCTTGTACAGCTAGATTGAACCTCTTTCTAAGTTGTTTAGACTTTGAACGAGTCATGGGACCTACTGGGACGACTGGTACAGGGTGTGGTACAGGATCTGGTACTTGATCTAGTTCAGCGGGTTGGACAGGATAATCGATGTCCGCATCATAAGTAAGGACCCCCGACGCTACGACGGAGCAGACCCTCGTTGTGCAGGCAGAATCGGGCCGATATGATTCTAATCATTCGAGCTTGCCAGTTATCCAAAGGTAGCTCGCCCTCCCTTAGGTAAGCTAGGATGGGGGCTCTCTAGTCCGCTTCCAGGTTTCCCTCCGGGATTTCCGAGAAGTTTTCTGGCCTTTCCCCCCTGAGTTCCTCACCACGAGGGAGTCGGGCTGCCGGAGTCCCAGCCGATGGTTCGGTCAGCTCCTCACTCATGGGAGCAGGGGGATCTTCCGGCATCAAGGCATTCCTTCGAGGTCTGACGACCTTGGTGGGAATGATGGGCAGCTCGGGCACCATTTCCCCTCTGTCGAGCCGTCGCTGCGTCGACCTCGTAAGGATATTCACCTCGCTTAGGCACACGCTAGGGCGCTCCAGGACCTCTACCGGAATAATCCGTGTGAAGGCAGGATCTGAAGTCGAGGCAAGAGACGCCAATGAGTCGGCAGCTGAGTTCTCCGCCCTAGGAATTTTTACCAACTCGAAGTGCTCGAACCGCTCGGCCAGTTCCTTTGCCGCAGCTAAGTAGGCTCCCATGCGCCCGTCTTTTGCCTCGTACTCCCCCGAACACTGACTTGCCACGAGCTGCGAGTCGCAGAAGGCACGAAGCCGACGGACCTCAATTCCTACAGCAAGCCGGAGCCCAGCTAGCAGTGCTTCATACTCGGCTTCGTTATTCGAGGCATCAAATGTTAATCTAAAAGACTGTTCAAACACTTCGTCAGTGGGTGCGCGAAACCTTACTCCGACGCCACTCCCTTGTTTGGACGAGGCCCCGTCCACGTGCATCGTCCATGGTCCTTCCTCTTTGCTTTCTGCACCGGCAATAGGCAGCTCGATTAGAAAAACGGCGAGCACCTGTGACTTGGCGGTAGTTCGAGCTCGGAACTCTAGGTCATATTCACTAAGCTCAATTTCCCATTTTGCCATCCGCCCAGACTGACTAGGACTATGAAGTATAGTTCGCATTGGTTGCGAAGTTAGAATCACAATCGTATGAGACTGGAAGTATGGTCGGAGCTTCCTAGCCGCAGTGACCACAGCTAAAGCTAACTTCTCCATCATAGGGTAGCGAACCTCAGCTCCCGTGAAGGTTTTGCTCGTGTAAAACACCGGCCTCTGTTCTCCCCTCTCTTCTCGTACTAGTACCCAACTCACAGCATGTTCGGATATAGCGACATACAAGAATAGGGGTTCCCCAAGCTCGGGTTTAGCGAGAACAGAAGGGTTAGATAGGTATTGTTTGAGCTGCCCGAATGCTTTCTCACACCTCTCATCCCACAGAAAATTCTTGTTTCCCTTCCGGAGGAGTTCAAAGAAAGGCAAGCATTTATCTATGGACCTCGAGATGAACCTATTTAGAGCCGCAATCCGCCCATTCAGGCGTTGGACTTCACAGAGACTCCGCGGCAAAGTCATCGACAGAAAAGCCTTAATCTGCCTAGGATTTGCCTCGATCCCCCTTTCGGTCACAATATAACCTAAGAACTCTCCCGAGGGGACCGCAAACGTGCATTTGGTCGGGTTCAACTTCATGCCGAACTTGTTGAGTATCGCAAAGCAGTCTTCGAGATGTCTGACGTGCTGGTTAGACTCCATTGATTTCACCAACATGTCGTCGATGTATACCTCCATAGGTTTTCCCAGTAGCTCGGCAAACATCTTGTTCACCAACCGCTGGTAGGTAGCTCTGGCATTCTTCAACCCGAACGGCATCACCTTGTAGCAAATGGTCCCCCGATCCGTGATAAAAGACGTCTTCTCCTGGTCGTCAAGGTGCATCATGATTTGGTTACACCCCGAAAAAGCGTCCATAAATGTTAATAACTCGTGCCCCGAAGTAGACTCCACCAGTCGGTGAATGTGTGGGAGAGGAAAACTATCCTTCGGGCAAGCTTTGTTCAGGTCGGTGAAATCGACACAAACCCGTGACTTGCCATTCTTCTTCTTGACTACCACCGTGTTCGCCAGCCATTCCGGGTACTGGACTAGCCGGATAAGGCCGGCTTCAAGCAGGCGGTCTATTTCGGCATTCACCACGTCAGCCCGCTCTTTACCCAACTTTCTACGTTTCTGCCGAACAGGCTTGAAATTGGGGTTGCCATTGAGTTCGTGAGTTATTACGTCGGTGCTGATACCGACCATTTCTTTTATCTCGGGGTAAACCTCGCACGTCTTTTGCCTCTTAGGGCTGACCCGCTCAACTTCCTCTGATGATCTTTAATGGCTCTAATAGAATTTCGGAATATCCAGGACCCGCCCATAATCACGTCGATACGCTTCTTCGTTCCTTGAGGGATTTCTTCGATAAGTGCCTTTGGTTTTTTGGCCGGGGGGAGTTCCTCTTCCTCAGGAACTGCCTCGGCTACGAGCTGGACTGCGTTCTGCGCCTGATCGAGCTCATCAATTGTTATATCCAGCATTCCCCCATTCATGAACATTTCTGCGAGCAGATGCATAAGTTTCTTGCAGTTCCGAGTAGCGTGCCCAGCCACCTTGTGGAGTTCGCAGAAGGAATCGTCTTCTTGTTCCTCCATGGTCCACTTATTGCTGGGTAAGGCCCCATTTCTACCTCGTGCTCCGAACCCTTGTTTTAATGAGGCACTCTTTGGACCCCCCTTCTGGTGATCTACGGCGAAGGTGGCGGGCCCCGGCCTTTATCCCTGCAAACTTCGCATGGCTCCTTGATCGAAGCTCGGTTTGGGAGTTACTTTGTACTTTTTGGCGAGTGCGGCTTTCTCCTCTTCTGCCACGATCCAGTTCGATGCCCGGTGAAGGGCGTCCTGGATACTGGAGGGGCGGTTGACCGTCAACTCTTCCCTGAGCCAAGACTGGTGCCATAACCCATTTTTTAGGGCGGACAACGCCGCTGAATCGGAGAGCCCGGGAATCTGGACCATTATCTCTTTAAACTTGGTGATGTAAGACCGGAGTGAATCGTTCGGACCTTGACTCAGATTCCACAGCTGAGCGTCGGTCACACCAACTCCTATGAAACTCGAATACTGCTTCACGAATGTTGTGGAGAGCTGAGTGAAACTATCGATCGTGCCTTCCTGAAGCGAAGCGAACCACAGGAGGGCTGGTCCGACAAATGTTTCGGCGAAGAGCTTGCAATACCCTGCATCTTCCTCATGAGGCTCGAAATCCACCCTTCCTACCGTAAGGAGGAAAGTATGGAGGTGAACTTTAGGATCCCCCTTCCCTTCATAACTGAGAAAGTTGACTTTTCGTGCATCCTTGATGCGCATTGTCGAGATTCTAGGTGAGAAAGGAGTTCGCTTTGATTCCTCGATAACTCGGTCGATGTCCGGAGCAGAGCTCGTCGCGTGATGGACCTTTGATTGCATGGCTCGGATCTCATTCTGGAGGAATGAAATTTCCGGATTGGGCACGGCCACCGCCCTGTGCCGGGGCGGAGTGCGGATGTGACCAAGCGTGGAGTTCCTACTCGCAGGAATGACTGCCCCCTGCGGAAGCGCCGACGCCGACAAACCAGCCTCCCTTGACTGGTTTTCTGCTGAGTTCGTAGTAACTGGGGGGCCTAGCCGCCCACTCCCTGGGGATGCTACCGGTAATGCCCCACCAAAATCAAGCATCCGGGGCCTGTGGAGCATGGTTCCGACAGACGTCCCCTCCACGAGCGCATCCACTTGAGCTGCGTAGGCGTTGTGGGCATTGGACAGCTCGGAGACGGTCTCGGACAAGGCGGCCACCTGAGCGGTGGACCGCTGTTCGAATCCTCCGAGCTTCTCCGAGAGAGCGGCCGTAGCTGTCTGCTGCTACTCCGTCTTCCCAGATAAATCCTGCAAGAACTTCTGAATTGAATTGAGAGTTACCTCGCTATCGTCATTCGACATCTTGCTAGGCTGACGACGGGAGGTCGGAAGCGAGGAATCGGTGGGTTAGGGAATAAGGTCCCCACAGACGGCGCCAAAATGTGGGAGCTGAAATCCACGAACTGAAAACGGAGTGAACTTGAGTGGGTCCCTGATTCCCTGTCCGAATTCGTGAGTAAGATTGCGAAATGAGTAGAAATTGCTTAGTTTTATTTAGTATATTATGCCAAAAAAGAATCCCCTATACACTTAGTCCTATCTCTCTATTTATACAACTTAGGTGAGCAATTAAAGATTCTGCGGACTCTTCTCCGCAAATCACGTCCTCATTAAGACGCCGTTTGACCCGTCGATAGCCCGTTTCGATTCCCTCTTTAAACATTTGAACTCCTACTGGACTTCTCCCAGCGGGCAAGGCAGTTCCGGGAGTGGGCCTTTGCTGACGGGCCTTTCCTCGAAGTGGGCTGCCGATCCGGGGTACTAATTCAGGTACCCACAGACTCCACCCATTTTTTTTTTAAATCCGCCAACTAATGGTCTCATACTCAATAACTAGCGTACATTTTTAACTGAACCAGCGACCAACAAAATATCAAATAAATAAGCAGAACCGAACCAATAACATTAAAACTAACCAAATCATCCAACCATCCCATGAAACAATAATCAATATCCAGCATCCTAAGCATCATTTTAACAACATTTATTCCAGGAACTAAACGTCCTATCAAAGCCATAAAGAACTATCACCACACCAAGAGTGCCTAAAAAAATCCTTCATTCTCATCACCCTGATATCATTGTTACACTTTTCCTTTACATGCACCACAAACAATGAGATGCGTAAGTATTGCAAATAAAATACTTAGTAAGACAATCCTTCCATTAGTTGGGCTATACACACAAGCAATAAGAAAAAGACAAGCAAATACAATCAAACTAGGCATCAGATAGACATATCAGTCGCAAGCTGAGGTCTAGTGTCATTCGACACCCTCCTGGTGTCGATCAATACATTTCCCTGGTGTAGCCACCAAAACAGTCTAGAGATTTGTAATTCTATTTTTTTTTGAATTTGCCGTTTGTTCTTTATAATATATTGCTTCTTAGATATTTATCCTTACATTATGCAAGTTTTAATATTTTCTAGGTTTGTGTTCTTGAGTATGATTTATGGGTTTGAGTAGTGATTATGGTTCTTGAGAATGAGATAGATTAGGTAGAGAATCTTAGTTTATTAGGATGCTTAATATTAGATTAGATTGTTTCCCATATGGATTAGCACTTTAATGATAGTGTCCTCTATGTCAATTGAAACTGTAAGTCTTGGGCATTTCCCTACCCACTAAGTATTAATTGAAATTTCTAAACCATCTAGTGAAAATATTCACATGCCTAGCCAAAGAGATTACATGTCTAGGATGTTTATTGATATTAATGAACTAGAACTTAGTGCCTACTTACTCATAATTCGATAATGAGAGTTAGGTCTAAAGTGATTAGGTGTGATAGGTTCTGTTAAGAGATTAAATTAGCTAAGTTGTGATGTTCATTGTCTTAGGATAGTTTCATTGAGTTTTTAAACACTCTACGTTGGTTAAGAGACTCCACCAAGTCAATTACCCCATCCTTAGGAGATTTATTCTCATTAATTGTGTTTATTTGATTGTTTATGCATTTGTTTCTGACTGTACTTGCCAAGTTTGCTTATGCATGCATGTTCTGTTTAGTAGTTTCATTTTGCTTTAGTTTCCGTTGCACTTTGGTTCTTTGACTTTTCTACCGTGATTGGCTTGACTTTTTTAAGTTGATTGCATCATGATTGCTAGCTTTACTCTCAAATCAGATTGATAACCTATTGCGTTACAACACATTAGGGCAATTAGTGGAATTTTGTTTTCGGAAAATTTTTATCGGAAATTTAGTCATTTGGTACATAAAATATGTTATTTTTGAAAGTGGACGACAAAAGAGGATATTTTTGCAAAATTTCCCACTACTATATCCTACCAATATGGTAATTTGTAGTATTTTTTTAAGTTTTGTTATGTAGATTTTTACATTATATTTCAAATTTGTTATGATAATTACCATAGAAAATAAGGTTGCTAAAAGTGTAGAGTTTAACCTCCACTTCATTTTTTATAAATGCAATATGCTATGTAAGAAATTTCGAGATTTATTTTTTAGAAAATAACAAAATAGTCTTTCTTTAGTTATGTTAATAAAAAAAAGAAAAAATTATATTATTTTTAACATTTTCAGAAATATAATAAAAGCTATTATGTATATAACCAAGCGTCGCGTGAGATAATGCCTAGTTATTGTTAAAACCATGATTACGAGATGAAAACATGAAATTTTGTAAAGAGAGTTTTGTCCCAAAATAGACAAACCACCTTTCTTTTAGAGAAAATTGTCACCAATCATATGAACAGTGTCAAATTTCCTAAGCATTGCCACATTATCCATTCTGTTTTCCCGCCTGCCACAAGGACAAAGTGAAATTACTTGTTTACCCCCGGTGACTGAACTTGCTAAGGCCGAGGAGACACTTTTGATGACACGACTTAAAGTTGCCTTTCTCTCTGCCTTGCGCCCTTTCGTTTTTCTTAACCAAAAATTTAATTTTCTCAAACCCAACAACATATTATCCGATGGAAAAGCAATTAACCCTCTCAAAATATTTTGCGAAAAAATGATTCCACCCAGTTCACCGCCTGAAACCCCTTCCTATGCCTCTGCCGGTCGACGGTGCTTCGATGACAGCCTCAGCGGCGGTCGATTCCGGTGACAACTTAGTAGGCGCCGCACCGCAAACCCTAGGATCCCCCGACTCTCCATCTCATGAAACAACCATTCATTTTCCCCCAGCCGGTGACCCTGTTAATCGTCGTGGAGAGATACCTGGCAGAGACGGCGACGCCTCGGGTACCCCCAAGATCTCACGTCTCGCCATCTAAAGAAACCGCTAATCCTTTGGTCGGCGCAGAGAGCCCCGAAGGCAATGCTACTTGGGGAGACGCCGACGCATCGGAAAACGGTATAGCCCATGTCGCGCCCTGTGAAGAAACCACCGGCGACGTTCCTACTTCTGGCCGAGAAGAGTCTCCCGTCCGAGACGTTGCTACTTGTGTACCGAAGAGGTGATTTTTGATCCTGTGGACTTAATTGGAAATATTTTTGTTCATCATCACATTTATAATTATTGTCCCCCACAGATCTTCACTGCGTTCTGCTGGACAAGACAAGAATTCTAATGTTGTCAACCGTCCCAACAAAGGGTAAGTACCTCTGTAGACGAGATCTAAATATTGTCCTCTTTACAATTTTGTCTATTTTCAAAAATTTTGTTTCTTATCAGTAGACCAGATCGATTTATTGTCTTCGCACAAAAGTTTCTGTCTATCACCAAATTTATAACTATTGTCCATCTTACAATCGTGTCCCTTTTTCTACAATTTTGTTTCATTATTTTTAAATAAACTTGATCGATTTATTGCCTACTTACAATCTTGTCCATTTGACTAACTTTTTTTTGCATAACTTTATCAATAGAACATATCGATTTATTTGCTATTCACAATCTTGTCCATTATACTCAATACGTAGTTTACTTTTATTAGGACCCCAGAAATCGTACTTGGACTCAAAGCAGATTCTTGGCCAGTGTACATCCCCAAATGTAAGACCTCACGACCAGTGGACATGGCGAGACCTAAGAGGTATTTTATCCATAAAATTAATGTGTCATTTTTTAAATATCTCCTTAATATAACAAAAATATAGATGAACAATAACTTTGTCCATTGCTTAGGACAAAATCTTGATGGACTAAAATTCTAATAGACGTTTTTATGCTTTTTAAACAGTCATTCGCGTGTGGACAACGATGGTCGACAACCACACCAAGACAGTGACTCTTCCCTGCTCCCACATCGTTTATTTGCGACTAATTCGATATCCTGTAGGAGGACGGATCAATTCATATTCTAGGCCGGAGTATCTCCTTGACATCGTTGATGTCTTGGATGGTTCCTTGGAGTTTGAGTGGCTTAAGCAGTCATCTTTCGGCCGTTTTCTCCAGCTTCCTCTTCGTAGAAGTTCTCTGTCTGGTAAACTTGTCCATCATGTTCTTTGCCGTTCTCTGATTACCAAGAAACGTCACGAGTTGTGGTTTATATATGGTGGGCAACCAATTTGCTTCTCCATGAGAGAGTTCGCAATACTGACTGGTCTTATCTGTAACCCGTACCCTCCCGAGGAAGAGATTAAAAAGATGCAAACCCCACGTGCCAAGGATGAACATTACTGGACATCATTATTTGGTCCTCACAGTTCCGTGACGATACGCGACATAGTTAATTGGCTGAAGCGTGACAAAAAATTCCCTAAACAAAGAAGAGTGGGTGGATGGGGATAAGTGATTAAAGCTAGCACTCATTGGTAAATTTGAGGGTATACTTGTCTGCGATTCCTCCAACGTCTGAGCTTCTAGGAAGGTTGCACAGATGGTTAAGGATATTAATACCTTTGATAGCTTCCCGTGGGGACGGTTGTCTTTTGAGCGTACATTGGCGACTGTATCTTTTGGCTCAGCCATCGACTCCCCCGATGTCCTTGCTCAAAAACTCATGCAATCCCACTCGGCCACCCATGGATTCACCCTTGCAATCCAATTGCTAATCCTCCAATCAAACCCCCTGCTTCAGCGGTATCTCGTAGATGCTAACGACAAGCAGACATTCACCGTACGTTATGTTTCCCAGCTCACTATGCTCAAGACCTTCCACAACTCTAACATTTTGGAGACAGAGATGGACAAGAACGTAAGTCGTCCATTACTGTTTTTTCCCTCTTTTAGACATAATACATAATGGACATATATTGTTATGTCCACAGCAGACATGACTGCTGACTCCTCTTATTTGTTTTACGTGTGTGTAGCTCAAGGTTGAGTGTATCTTGCATTCAGAAGACGAAACAGAGTTAGAAACCCTCACATAGCTTAACGAGGTGGA